CTTGGTATACGATCTTTCTAATCCCTTTCATTCTTTAAGGAAAAATGAATTAAGGGGAAAGATTTTTAATACCCAGTGAATCATCTTTGCTTCATTCGCTTCCATTTTACATTTTGTTTTTGGTTTCTTTTGGAATATTGATTTACTAGTAGATGGATTACGGTGAATTTATTTACTGCTTCCTTCTCCTTCTCCTTCTCCAACCATAGCCTAAACTCTAAGAGTTTGACCTCTCCGAGCAGATTAAATGCAAATTATGCAAACTGCTGCACTGTGGGTCATAACCCAATTAACATGACACATATTGAGCACATGATCATTAGTCTAAATGAAAGCTGTCAGGCAGCTTGGTGCTCAAGATTAACACAGTCTTGGTTGGATGCTTTTGGGAGGCAGGGAGTTGGGAAAGCTCATATTTAGCTTCATATGTTCTCTACAGAGTTCTCTTTAAACCTGCTCCCTCATCTGAAAACACCGTAGCGTAGTCCTTTGTTCTGATGGATAAAAGCAGAATTAACTTCTAGTTTAGACTAAGCACCTCTGGATAAGGATCTAAAGTACATGGCAGCCCTAATAGCTTGAACATGACTGTAAAGCCTACATTACAAAAGTTTCTTCAGCTGTTTCTAAAATGAAATTGTATGTAGGAGTGGGCATGCAATTTTGTCTAAGATCGCTCTGCTATACAGAACTATTGAAATCTTAATTAACTTGGGCTTTCACGTCATTATGAAGGTAGTCCGAGATGAAATTTGTGAATAAAAACCTGAAGATTTATCAGAAAACACAGTCATCTAAATGAGATTGTCAGATTTTACATCTGGCGACAGAGGCATGCATTCTTGAATGTCAACATTCACAATATCTTTCTGGGATAAATTTATTTGGTTTATTATATTTACATCTTGCCTGTCCCTCAAGGAGCACAAGCTGGTGTGCATGGTTTATCGTCCCACCTCCTATTTTATCCTTTCAGTCACAGCCTGAGGCTGATTGGGCCAAGGTTATCTAGGGGCTTCCAGTGGCTGTGTGGTGACTGGAACCATTTGAATGCCTTAAATTGCCACTTGTGTGTATGTGTGCGTGCGTGTGTGTGTGTGGGAGGGACCACACATAATTTAGACACCACCATTGCTGCTGTTCCTCTAGTATGCAAAATACGTAGTAAATGACATATCTGAATTACAAATGTTTTGTTTATGTTCATTCAAATTTATATTTAAATCCTGGATCAAGGTAAGTTTTTACTCCCTTATACACCCCTGAATCCTATTAGTATTAATTGGAATTATGCAAGCATGCTGGGCTTGACAGGGCAGCTGTTTGAGGTGGTCCAGGAGTCCCATCTCTCTTAGCTGTTCCCTTAACATAGGGTTCCTGTGACAAGGGCAAATCAACAGTGATTGCAGGCATAGAGTGGCTGTATGCCAAGTCATTAGTATGTTAATTATCTTTCACACATGCTCTTTTCTCACTTTAACTTGAGTCATTCCTGTTTCTACCATTTCTCCAGAGAGAGTCTACTGAGACGTCTGTGTTCTGGGAGCATTGCAGGCATGTGTTAAAGTGCTGGATTGGTGCTTCAAAATGATGCTTTTGTTGTGCTCTCACCATGTCTCATTCATGGAAGCCTCATGAATTCTATATATTTTACTGGAAACTGTTATGATTAGAGAAAGGGTTTTAACATCTGAATTGTAACAAAATACAAACACATAAGAGCCAAAGCATATGGAAATAACCAGGGTTAAATGTATCCGGCTAACCCTACTTAGACTGACTCTATTTTATCTGAGTGCTTTCCAGCAATGTTGTTTTCAGCCGGTAACCCTCTCATAATTTCCCAGCACATCTACTGTCATTTTTCTTTCCACCACAAGTCCTTTAAGAAAGAAAAGGCGTAATAGCTACAATTTCACATGTTTGGTAGCACTTGGAAAAAACCCTTGGTTTTTTCCCTTTCAAGCACTGTTAGTCTTGGGCTCCTTTCCTTTATCCTGCCGCAGTCTCTTACTGTCAAGAGTTTGTAGCTCTTCTTTTTCATTCATCTTATTTTTTATCTTCCAACCTCTCAACCTTCTTTTTCAATTCCAAAAAAAAAAAAAATCCTCTTCCCTTCAGGACGGCTAATATTTGCCCTAAATCCCTTCTTCTGAGCTCTTGGTGCACATTTCTGCAAAATATCTGTATTTTGCAAAACTGGCACCTGTATTTTTTATCAGAGCAGACATTTCCATATGAAATAGCTGAACAAAGCTGCTTACCTCTCTGACCACCTGCTAAACCTTGATTTCCAGGCCTAATAGAACCAAACTTTGCTAAAATGTTGACTGAACCTCAGACCTTTTGACTTTAGCAAATGCAGCATATGAATTTAGCCCCATAATTCAAACTACATCATTTGCAAAATAGTATTTGTTCTTTCACAGCGTTTCTTCACAGAGGTTTTGTGGCATCAGGCCAAAGAACCATCTGTCTCCATTGGTGGCTTATGATGAGAAACCAATGAAGCCCAAAACCAGGGTGTGACGGAGACAGTCACTCCTGCTGTTGATCTGCAGCAGTTTTCTTCAACCTGCTGTCACCCAGAGGTGTTGAATGGGAATGAAGGGAGTTGTAGTGCAACACCTCTGCATGATATTGGGTTGGGGAAGGCTAGACTGAAGCATCTGATTCAGGAAGAAAGAGATCTTGGTCAGGAAAGTGCCATTCTCTGTGTATCATGATTAATCATTTGTAGATTTCCCTTTCATTAATTTACCAATGTTGAGACTTTCTTTTTTGGCCAAAGACATCCACCAAAACAGAAGACTTGAACACCATTTGGAAATGAAGTTTCCACTGGAAGGCTAAGCCAATTTTAGGTTGCTAAGAGATTGTCATGTTTTAAAAACATTTTTGTGAGTAAGGAAAGGGGTAGGGACTTGCTTTCTTTATCATACTGTGTGCATTTACATTGTCCTTTTAAGTGGGAAACAAAATTAATGCAAGGTGATGGCAGAGCGGGTTAAACTGCTGAGCTGCTGGTCTGGTTGATTGAAAGGTCAACAGTTCGAATCTGCAGATGGATTCCTGTACTCTGTCCCAGCTCCTGCCAACCTTGCAGTTCAAAAGCATACAAATGCAAGTAGATAAAAAGGTACCACTTCGGTGGGAAGGTAACAGCGTTCCTGCACCTCGGTGTTTAGTCATGCCGGCCACATGACCATGGAGATTGTCTGCGGACAAACGCTGGCTCCCTCGGCACTGGCTCCCTCGGCTAGGAAACGGAGATGAGCACCGCCCCCAGAGTCAGGCATGACTGGACTTTAATGTCAAGGGGAAAACTTTATCTTTACCTCTTAACCAACAAAAAAATACCCTTCATTTAAATAACTGCTTTTCTTTTCTCTCCCCCCCATTGCTTTCCTGATCTATCCTTTTAAGTATCTTACACTGTACCTGAACTCTTTTTACTATAAACAATTTCCATGTCTTATACCCATATCTGAATTTTTTTTCCATCCATGAGCTTGATCGCTCTTCCTCAGAACTGAGAGGGAGGGTGCTGCCCTGTCCCAAGAGCAAGATGGCCTTCCGTTGTTCTCCTGTAGCATTATACAGAGGATAACAATTAATCTTGCACTACTTTAAAATATACAAATGTCATTCTGGCTGATGATTGTGCTGTATACTTTTCCAAGCTAACTTGGAGTGTGAAATTCAACTACTCTTGCCAGTAAAGGAATGACAAGCTTTGAGGAAAAAGGAGGCAGTTGTAACCTTGTATTTGGTGTCTAGCAGAGAATAACTATTTTTGTAATCCCCACATTATTTTACCAATTAAATAATTTTGCTTGCTTCCAGTGTAGGTCAGATTTAAAAGCATGAGGACCTGCTTGTGCTTAATTATGACGTTGTAAGAATAGGCCGCATTCAAAATGTAAAACCCCACTCTAGAGATGCACAATTCATGCTCTTGATTCCTGACATCTTAAGTGTAATTTCCGTGTTTTAAGAACGTCTTCTTTTCAACAGTAACCTGCAAGTGGTGGGAAGTCAGTTTGGACTGTTTGTCCCTGTGTTTTTGTATTCACGCCCCTATTAGTCTTCTACCAGTGTTCCACTTTTCTTTAGCTTTTGGCAGGCTATACAGAACACCATTTCCTCCTTTTCAACCTGGTGAAGTCCAATTGTTCTTTGCTTACACTACATTAGCTTTTCCCAGAATTTAGCTTGGAGCTTGAATCCACTAGGGAGCCCCTAGTGTGTTTAGATTATACAACTGCTTCCTAAAGGAGACTTGATTGGATGCTGTCCTCAGTTGATGTCGTCAAACCAGATGTTCAGTGTTCATTCTCACCACTACCACTGCCCTCCCTGTGATGTTCTGCAGTATGTGGTTACACAGATATTGATGCTTGAATAATCTCTCCCCGCACCACGTCTCTATCTGATGATGGTGATGAATTCATCATTCTTGAAATGAATTTATTTTAGATCCCCCTCTCCCCTGAGAGCTTGTGCTAGAGAGCAGCCTTCCTTATCTGATATGGAAGGGGAGATGGGAAGGAGAATAAAGCTGAGAGATGTTATTTTCGTCTGGGGGCTGCTCAGATAGAGCCAAGATGGGTTTATTACTTGCACACAAAACACAAAAAGTGCTCCCATTTAAATGGAGAAATAAATGTACAATGACAGTGATTGTTTGTGGTTCTCTGTGTTTAAATATCACAGTTTTCCTGAGCTATACACAGAAATGGTGACTGGGAAAAGTATTGTGCCCTTATTTCCATTTTCAAGCATTTAAGAATGTGCCACGCACAGTTGATGGTACCGTGTGTCTTCTGTTTTGCATGCAAATTTAAAAATACAGCATGTGAAGCCATCCTTGGTGAACAGGTGACAGAGGTGGAATATGAGCCCAGGTCTTTGGTCTCAACCACAGGGCTTAAAATCTGTACAGCATTAAAGACAACAACAGTGTGGCAGTATTTGTAATGCATTTTTGTTTTTGTTAGGTTTCTGCCGATCTATTGGAGTAAGCAACTTTCTCATAGATCATTTGGAGCAGCTGAAGGAAGATTGCCAAGTAATCCCACATGTAAATCAGGTGAGTGTATAGTGTATAGTGTTCTGCATAGTCATTAGTCCTTCAAAGGCTTTGACCAACAAGATGCTTTTGCTCAAGTATTGTGAGAGAGGAAGAACAGTTAATGTATTCCTTTTCTCCATATAATACACTATTTAAGGAATCTTTATCATGTCTTCCCCTTATTCACGCTTTTTTCCTCTTTGTGAAGGTCTGTTTTGGTTGAGCATTTCTAGCCTTTTTCCACTTGTGGGAAATGCTCTGTGATAGTTCTCCAAGCTTTGGAGGTTCGTTGCCTTTGAAAGGGTCACTTGGAATTATTGCCTCTCTCTTCCTCCTCAAGAGTTCTCTGCTACTGTGTATGGGGGAAATATCCTGCAGCCTGTTCAGGTAGAAGCAAACAGGCAAATGAGTGACTCCACAGTGCCTCTGTGACTGTAAACACGTGATGCTGAAAGCCATTGAAAGGTCAAGAAACTTCAAAGGTTGAAGAAATGGATGTGTCTGCTGCATGAACCTTGTCTCCTGTCCAGCCTGTAATTTTTGATCACAGTGGGTTTAGGCTGACTCAGCCTCGCCTTGGAGAGTCCAGTTTTTTCAGAGTCAGTATTGAGCAGATGCCAGCCGATTGTTCCTGACCATTGTTGCCTGGAAAGACAACATGTACTAGAGATGAGAAACAGGAAGCAGCCCTTCATCCTCCTCAGGGTGGAAGAAATTTTCCACATTCCCCACGTTGACGTCATTGCGCTAAACTAAGAGATTTTTTTCTCCTTCACCAGCACCACCGCTATGAAAAATATGCAAAATGGTTAGGTCATTGGCAAATGTATGACAGCCCTTTGCTCTGGAAGCATGTTGCTATCTGTAAGACAGCTTTTTAGAGAAATTACGTTGATTTGTGCATGGACTGAGGGTTGTATTTTGCATCGAGAAATTGTCGTGTCCTTGCTTTGCTTAATCTTTTGCACTTATGTTATAAGTTGGGGCAGTATTGGGCCAGTTCACCTGGTTTCTCAGGTTTTACTATATAATTGCTTTTTGCAGAATTCCTGGGACTCTGGTTTTGTAAACTCACAGTCATTCCAAATTTATTCCTTATTACTCTTGCTTGTACTCTGGCCTGTACTAATGCCCAGAGTGAATATAGATTTTGAGAGACCAGGAGGAAAATGGCATACAGTAAGAAGGCGAAGAAGTTAAAGAAACAAGGATTGCTTCTGCCACTATGCTGTGACTGCAGCCTGGAAGAACATAGGTATCCCAGAAACCTCTGGGGTTGGTGGCTTCTGAACAGCAAAGGTGCAGTCACGAAGATTGCATCCTAAAACTAGATATATAAATCAGTTGTTACTCGTAGCTAGGAACTAAAATACTATTGCTAACTGAGATGAGATGCATATACTGTGTCTAAAAGAGACAAGAGTTGGTTGAATGGCTAAATAAACAATTTCAAATAGATGTTGTGACATTCCTCTGTTTTACCATTGCTCCTTCTATCATTTCATGGAAAATCTTCTTCTGGAAGAGCTGACAGGGTAATTGTACACTGCTGCACTGGAAGCCGTCCATATGGAAATGCCCCAAATGAGATACACGAGGGTAGCTGGAGAGTGGTGTCCCTCCATTATGCAATCCCTTCCATTGTGCTGCTCCTACTTTCAAACAGTGTGTAACCTCCACTCCTTGCAGACAGGAACATGATGGCTATGATTACCTTGCTTTTTTCACTTCTCTGGAAATGTGGAGGATATAGGCAATCACCGTACTCATTTTCCAGAAATCCATGTTTCTCTCTAAGGGACAGCTGTCTGGCTTTTTAAAAAGGGAGGAAAATAAACTTTGGTCTTTCTTTACTGTTAGCTGTTTGCCAAACCAGTGACAACACTTCAGTTGGCTAACCTTTGAGTTGTTCCAACTTATAAACTGGCAAGATTTTTAACTGCAGAGTTTCTTTTCTTGTATAAAAGGTTGAATATCACCCTTTCCAAAGGCCTCAAGAATTAGTGGATTACTGCAGGAGCAGGAATATTGTTTTCGAAGGCTACTGCCCACTAGCTAAAGGTGAAGCTCTTCATCACCCTACAATAGTTCAGTTGGCAAAGAAATATGGCAGAACTCCTGCACAAATCTGTATCCGCTGGAGTATACAGGTAAGTTCTAAAGTTGCCAGAATTATAGCTCCCACCTCTCTTAAGTAATAGCAGTTGAAGAGTTTGTCTGTGATGGAACCTTGTTTCTGTCCACCCACATAAAATACGTTCACACAAGGAGTAAGTGCACCTCATCCAACTCTTACTGTTTCTGGTGGTGTGATTATAGCAAGTGCAGGCCTGCCATCTTCAGCAACTTTCAAGGTAGTCTAGTAGCTGAAACTGTTTAGAGCTCATTCCTGTGTATGTTCAGACTGGAAAAAGGGCCCTACAACATACAGGCTGTTAAGGAGGGGACATTTGGAGAACATCCATTCATAAGGTCACTTTAAGGCAGTTTGGTGGCACATACCTAACAACAAAAGAATGCAGCACAGGTTTGTGCCTTTAGTGTAATATGATCTGGATTGTTGGGCAGAGGGATTGCAGAAATGTTCCTGGAAATATGATTAGCATGGCAGGTGGTTGTTGCTTCTAGAGGCTAGCAAGGAATCTAGTAGCTGTCCAGGAACTGGGCAAGCTCTTCTTCTTGTCATTGCAGAACTTCAGTCTACTGAAAATGCACAGTACGCCAATGTGAACAAAGAGGTCTCCATAATGGGGGGCCTTTGGACCTAATTTTTTCAAGCAGCAGATAAGATGGCAATCCTTATGTCTGAACTGTAGTGCTTCAGATCATAGACATGGATTGGGGTGGTTTCATACAATGGAATGTTCTTCCATCACATAGAAAACTAGTATGTGAGAGAGAAGGCTAAGCTAGGCTCAGCTCCTTCTTCCCAAACGTGCAATTTTCTCTGTACAAGGAGTTTTTGTACAAAGGAGCATTCAAGTACGTCATCCCCTATTTGGTTCACTAAAGGTGCATGTTTATGGCTGTGGAACTCCCTGCCAAGGAAGGTTAGGTCAGGTCTCTGTCTCTGCTGTCTTTCTGCCTCCAGGCAAAAGCATTTTTATTCAATTACTTAAGCTGGTTTGTTGGGTTGAGTGCTGCATTATTCTGGTACTGTTGTGTTTCTACCTGCTTTTGTCTTGGTTTTATTATCCAAATTTTTGTTGTTCTTTTTGCTGCAAAAGATTCTTAGCAACCTTGAACTCTATTTTCTTGGTAGAAAGGCAGAGTGCAAATCAAATAAAGAAATGATAATAAGAAATTAAATTGCCACCTCAGTTGCTGTTTCTGAGAACTAGGTCGACATTTGAGGTCTTTATAGGGATGTGATTCAACTTACAACTTACGCTAATTGACTTTGGTGAGGTCATTCTAATTCAGATCTCACCTTCTCCCCTCCCCCTCCGCCCCAGCTCTTTTTGGTAAAATAGTTCTTCACTAGTATAAATTACTGATTCAGTTTTTTGTTTTAGAATGGCATTGTCACTATTCCAAAGTCTACAAAACCAGAGAGGATCCAGGAAAATTGTCAGGTAAGAGACAGGTAGAAGTAGCATCAAATACACAATCCTTGCTTGATTTTACAATATTTTACATTATTTTTGTGCCGTCCCATGGCTATTAACAGAAGTTCAATTGCTTATTTCAGGATGGCCAGAAGCCTATTATACTCTGGCCTGCAAAAAGTAAAGGTGGACTACTCAGTGGCCTACCATGGGCAATTTGCCTGATACCTTGCAGATAAAAGCTGTTCTGTCCAGATGCCAGAATCTGTTCGGTCCGGATACAAGTCTGATGGATGTTCCCTGCTTGTTCAGTGAGAATGGATACTTTTCCATTTGTACAGCCTGAGGAGGTGGACAGAATGCATGGGGAGATGAGACCTGCCAGTCTTGCCCTTTCTTATTTACAAAACCAGAAGGGAACTGGCTGAGTGGGTACAGATAGTGATGAGAGTCTCTTTATGGCAAGTTGTGGTTCCTTTATGCCTAAAAAAATAAAAATAAAACCTTCCTGAGCCCTAGTGTGGATAATTTCTGGCAGATTTCCAGTATTCTATTCTTGGGCAAGGTGCTAGAATAGGTAGTGGCCTTTCAGCTATAGGGATTTCTGGGTGATGAGAATTCTCTAGATACATTTCAGTTTGGAGTCAGACCTAGTCATGGGACAGAGTGTTTTGGTCACCTTGTTGGATGAACCTATGCCCAGGGAGTATGTCCTTGTTGGTTCTGCTAGGTCTCTTGGTGGCTTTTCAGACTATTGACCATAGTATCCTTCTTAGGTTTCTGTCTGAGATGGGATGGAAGGTACTATTAGGAAGTGGCTCAGGTCTTTCTTGGGAGGTGCAATTTCAGGAGGTGGTGCTGAAGGGAACCTTTTGTGCCAGCTGGGCTTTGGTGTCCCAACTGTATTTAATATATGCATGAACCATTGGGAGAGCGTGTTCAAAATGTTGGGGTTTGGTGCCAGCAGTGTGTTGATGACACCCAACTTCATCTCTTCTTTCCATCTAAATGCAAAATGACTGATATTGGTAATGAATTGGATGAGGCAAAATTGCAGCTTAATCTGGAAAAGACAAAAGTGCTGCTGGGCACTCAAAAGGCAAATCAGGGTTTTAGCCTCTGCTGGATGGAGTTACCCTCCTCAGAAGGGTCAAGGCCTGCAGCTTAGTTGCACTGTTCAGTTCAGTCCTGAGCCTAGGTGCCCAAGGTTTCATCAGTGCCACAATCCAGGGCACTTGAGCTGATGAATCTGAAGGTACCAATCGAGTCAATGCTCATGGGCCTAGGTTTTTTTGAACTGTGCTGAAGTCACCCAGATACGGTCTTGAAGGAGGAGAGTTTTGTTGTTGCTCCAACTATCAAGGAAGCAGAAGGACATCTCCGGGATATGCCAGGTGCATGTTGGTTGCAGAAGCTGCACGTCTCGTGTTGCTGGCTGTGCCTGTGTCCGTGCACGCAGTCTACAGGAACTCCTAGCTCAGGGACCCCAGCAAGGGAGCTGGGAAGCAGGAAGGAAATGGCTTTTCACTGTGTGACATGTATTTTACTGCTGCATTTTCCCCTTCTATGCCTGTGCTTAAACTTAGTAAGCTCTAGGGAAGAGGCCTCCTCACAGCCTGCGTCTTGAGTCTGTGCTCCCCCAGGAACAGTTTCGACAGTTCTACGTGCCAGCTGGTGTGTTCCAGGAGCTGTGCGTGTGCTTCTCAGAAAGCATATTTACGAGGAGGCATGACTACTCTGTCTGGCCAGGAGAAAAGGGAAAGTTTTTCTCCTCCTATCCAGGGAATACCCTTGGCCCAGAATCATGTCTTGTCAGCGTTCTGTGTATCTTAATTCATCGATGTCCCTTCTCATGGTGAATTGGTGTGAAAAGGGTAAGAGCCCAGTCCCTTCCAGGCTGCTCCCAGCAAAGCAGGAGGTGCAAGGGAGCTGACTTTTGCTGCTCCGTCCCCCTTTCAAATATTTTTCCCCTAAATGAGCATTTGAGGGAATGCTGGCAGGAGCTGGGCCAGGGCTTGAACGACTATAGGACCAGTTGTAGAGGCTTCACCTCTCTCTTCCCCACTCACCAGAATGTCCCCTTCTCTTTCCCTCCAAGGTTGTACTTGCGGCCTTGAGTAGCAGCTGGTCCACTTCCTTCTGCAGCAGCTGCGAGGGGCTGTGGATGGTAGACTGGAATCCAGAGTTCCCTCCCAAACTGTAGCAGTATTTAGAGCATTGGGAGGGGTTATTGTGAATAATCTTATAGTCTTGAGACACTTTCCCAGGTCCCAGAGGATTACACCCTAAAGGTGCAGTGTTGATGCATGTTTAGGCAAAAAAGGCCTTCAATTTCCCCCATGTCCCAGCCAGTGATCCTGGGAGTTGAAGACCTTTCACTGTTTGAATATGCACAGGATTGTGCCCTATATTGTTTTTGTTTTTGACTTCTCCTTGGCTTCTTTCTCTTTCGCTTAGTGTTTTGACCCAGATCCCCCCTGAAATATTAACAGTGATGAACAGCAGGTTTTGAGGGAGGTCAAGAGGCACTCCTGGATGCCAGTTATTATTGTGGTGGAAGAGAATTCATAGCGTTGTTCACATCTTTCTTCAACCCTACATATTAAGCAGTGGCCAGTTTACAAGTTAGAAGAAGGGCATGGGAGTAAATAGGGTCCCCAGGCAAGAAATAGCTTGATAAAGCAAACCAATTGGCTCAAGCGAAGACACATTATACAAAGAAAGCCAAGCTTCTTTAATGTTAAATAAAGGTTTGGCATTCTGGCCAATGTACCACACTGGCTCTAGAGGCACAATCTTGCGCTCAAGCAACAGTCCAGAATGCTGGGGAGTTTTAATTAAGGAACAAACAAGCAGTTTGTAACATTGTCTTTGTATGTGATCGACTAACTGCATATACCTTCCCCTTAGGTCTTTGATTTTTCACTAGTGGAAGATGATGTTGCAATTCTAAATGGAATGCATGATGGGAGACATGTTTCCTGGGATCCAGCCTCAGTGGTTTAAATGCAAGGTTTGATTTTGTGCTGTTCTGCAGTATAAGAAGGGGTACATTCTTGTGTTCTTGGGCATTTGCCCTCCTGCAACATCACAGGAGGGAAAAGGACGACCTCACTTGCTGACCCTCCCCACCTCCATGTTCCTGTCTGCTGAGTACCTTCTGCAAGTTGGTGGGGGAAGGATGGCGCTGAAACAGGGAGCCTGCTATGTCCAGGTGGCCTCCCCTCATGATTAAAACCCCAGATGGCACAAGATCTGCAGTTGCTCAGGAAAACGACCCACGTGCAGCAGGCTCTCTGCTTCAGACCTTCTCTCTTCAGCGTGTGGTCAGTGGGAGGGGGCAGGGCCAATGCATGCCACCCTGCTGTCTTCCTCACATAGTTGGGATCATGACTGTGAGTAAGCACCTGAAAGGGGTTCATGTGAACTGAGGCAAACAAGTGGTTGCCTTGCTTAGTTGGGTAGTTTGGATATTATAATAGCAGAGGCTTCTTTGGGATTGGGGTGTATTTCCACCATGCCTTGAGAAGGAAGGAGTATGGTTTGTATCATTTTCGTCTCCTCTTATTTTAGGAGGCCCCTGGCCGCCACAAACTCAACAGATGTAGGAAATTGTGTGTGTGGAACCTGGTCTGCATCATTGTAGGGACTGTTCAGTAGAATGTGCTGGAGATACTCTATCCTGGAAGTGGTCAGAGTCCTCTGGATCTAAGCATATATTTTATTCCTGCCCATCAGTATTTCTTACCCAACTGTTATCCTTCCTGGGAAGCTAGAGAATATCCCCAAAAGCACATTGAAATGTTTACTTAGGGGTTAAATGGCGGCTGACTTCTTTAAAATTATTGTCAAAGAGGGAAAAGGTTGTTTTTTTCTTGTTGATTGTGTTTATTTAATAAAAAGAACATTAGTCTTTTTATTCATTTTATTTTTCTTAACCTTCATGTTTGTGTAGTTATCTTTGGGAGAGGTTCTTTCATTTAGGGATAAAAGCTTTTGTTTGAGGTAATATGGTCTTCCATTTCAGCAGTGTCTTTGTGGTCTGTGCAACAGTGCATAAACGTATTTGTATGAAATACATACAACTTTCTAGCAGTTACACATAGGGGTCAACAATGCAGTCCAAAATTGAAGTATGTATCCATGTGAAGGTGGTATGTATGTGCCACCTCTTCAAATATTGAAAATGTTGTAAGATCCTCAGTCCATTGCAGCATAGCTAGCATTTATTTTTCCAGTGTTGCCATGTCAGTCTTCCGTTTATCAAACAACACAAAGGAATCTTTATGCTGACCATGTGTTAATTTCCATGAAGCAGGTAAATAATTTAAAAGAGTGCATACATCAGTGACTATTGAAGGCTATTCAAGATACAAAGTTTATCTGTATAATAACCTGCTGCCCCCAAAAAGCAATGAGTAGACTGTGCCAAAACGTATGTTCTAAAGAAGCTCAAACTGTATTGCACCCCCTCAACCCCAGGAATTAGCTGGATTAGACAATCCCGTATTAAAGAAACATTGCCGTGGCCAACAGACACAAAATAAAAGTTTTTGCCAAATAAGACAGAGCCTGAAGTATACAGATGTGACAGGTAGATGCCAGAGTGGTATTCTACTCATGAGGGATTTGGTGGTGTTGCCCACAAGTTTCTCCAACTTCGAAATGGTCCCATGGGTTCAAAATGGTTGGGACCATTTATAGGATCTTACATTCCAACTCCTTACTCTGATCTTCAGAGCTTTATCCTAGACAGTCTTCTCTTCTACTGAATGCCTAGTGCAGAGAGCCTGCTTGAGCCCCTTCTAGAACACAGAACCAAAGATGCTGATCGTGTTACTGAATGGCTAGCTCACATGAGGAGGGATGTCCTTCCTCTTAAATTTGTGTTGTGATCAAAGAAATTCTTAGAAAATAACAAAGAGATTGCATAAAATTAGCAAAATAAGACTATACAGTCAGTCTACCTAGCCTCCACAGACTCATACTTACTCTCTCACTACAGCCACCAGAGAAAACCTCACATTTTTCTAGTTCCTTGCTGGGAACAATGTTTCTATCTATCTAAGGCCCAAAGGAGACTTAGTAGAACAGACTAGATGTGGAAAAGTAGCTCCACGCCTCTACTCTGGTGATAAGATGCTTCTCCACCTGTGCAAGATGGCTATGGTTTACTTGTAGACCTACAGGAGATATGCCATCCCTCACTTCGCCCAGGTCTCTTTAGCTTTGTTTTTGCACTGATTGTTTTAGTGCAGGCTAGTCTTCTGGAGAGCCTGGGGACAAAAGTCATCATAAATAAATGGGTTGCTCAGTAATATTTAAGGTATAAGCAATTTGCATGAGAGGTCTGTTTCAGTGAGGTCTTTCCCCAGGGGACGTGCTCTGACTTGATGATAGGCCAGCCCCCACTGTCATCCCTATCTGGCTGCTGCACTTGACTTGCAGTACTAAGTTAAAGCTAAAATTCTGTCCCCAGAAAGAGGAAATTCTGTCCCCAGTCTTGGAGCGAATGTCTAGTAGGCTTCTCAGCACTGAATTCTGTAAGAGAGCTGACCATGAACCCCTATTTCTGCATCACCTGAATTATGACTGCCACATTCAGAAACGCCTGCACTGAGATTGGTGTCTAAATCAAGAAATTGTCCAGAAGGTCAGAGATGTACCTACAATGTCCAGAAATGGACTTCCAGAATCTTCAGGAAGACCCTGGGTAGATAGGAGAGATTGAGTGGCAGGACAGATATTGATGCTGCTACTTCCCATAGCTGAAGCTCAGAAACTGGAAAAGATGGGGGTGAATGAGAAGGTGCAGAAAAGCCTCTGTCAAAGCTAGAAAATCTGGCTCCTTGGGGAGTACCACAAGGTTTTGCTCTTGAAGGTATTTTTCAATCATTTCAGGTGAAAAATTGTTCTCATGCCTCTTGGTTTTTCAGGATGACAAAAATGAAAAAACTCCCCAGCAAGAGTTCTTCAGCTGATACTGCTTATCTGGCTCTCACCTTCAAAAGATGCCCCAGAGATTTGGGCAAACTTTTCTTGAGTTGCTTGAGAAGAATAATGAATCTGATGGGATACAAGAGAACTCTAGAAAGTATCCATCCCTCACTGTTTGCAGAAGTCCTTGGTCTAAGGTCGTTTCTAACTGGATTCCTGCAAATGCTGAAAATTTACTTCCCACTCAGGTCGAGCAGGTGGAATGACTCTTCCAGTCAGGCGAAAAAGTGTGGGTCAATGGGTAATGGTGTTTTGCTGGAACACTGGATTCCAAAATTGCCTTTTGATATGGACGAAGCCTTCCACCTTGGTTTGGCATCCCTCCTATGACTGCATGTGTGGGAAAGAAGAATCGGTTTTAAGAAATGCTTCATGCTGAATAGCTCTTTGTTGGAGGGGCTTTTCATCATGATCATGTATTATTTGAAAAGATAAAGAATAAATGCTAGACACCGTACATAAACAGAAGAGACAGGTCCCTGACTCACAGTTGAAAAATGTGGAACAAACTATGAAGTGTGATTCTCAGGAAAGGGAAACTGTGAGAACTGGAAGAAATTGAACATGGGGGTGGGGAAGCATTAAACTATAAAATAATTAACCAAGTAATAGAGAACAACAGAAGTAAAACAGCATTGCCTCTGTTTATATAAAATGACAATCCATTGGTTGCCCAGTGAGACATGCAAACTCAGGTGGCTGGGTTGTTAGGGGCTAAACATCCCAGCAGTTAACTCAGCAGCAAACCATGGGTTAGCTGCTGGGTTGTAGTGCCTAAACAACACAGCGGTCTAGGTCCACATAACTGCTCCTAGGGAACCCTGCTGTGCTTCCATTCTGGACCACACACAATATCTTGGATTAAATCATCTCTCTCAGATGGATGCATTAACATTTTATTTCATTTTGAGCCCAGCTAACTCTTTCCTGGGTTAAACACTGATATATTCCATCTGAAAAAAAGACCCAGAAACATATCTGATTTAATGCCCTCAATGCTTATGCTTTTTCTTCCCCAAAGAAAGACATAGGGTCCCATGCAATGTGAGCTTGTATCCATCTGAACTTGGAGGACGATGCAGTTGTAGATGCATGGAGGTGAAGATTGTCTTGACATGCCTTCTGTCCTCCAAAACCCTTACATGGCCTATTTCAGCTCAGCATTTTACACTGGCTTGTCTGGGGAGGAAGTGGGGGCAACACCAGGTTTCCTCATACAATGGCACTGTCTTGCTTCTCCCCTCCTTGCTCCTGTCTCCCATGCCAGCCCCAAGGTTGGTTTTGCAACCTGGAGCTACAGCTGGCATAAAAAGGAACTTGTTGGGTGTGAGGGTGGAGGGAGGTTTCTCCGAATAGAGTCCCAGGTCTACAGTGCTTCTTCAGTGTTAGAGCTGAGACTATGAGTTATCCTATAGCTGCCTAGACAGTATCTAGCAGCCATAGGATTGAACCATTCATTTATTTCAATTAATACTATTTTTTCTACTCATCACAGAATATAAATGCAGGACATGATGTTTACGGAAATGATTCAATGCTATATTTAAAAATGGGGTAAAATTCTGGTGTCCATGGGCAGCAGGTTAGGGAACCCTATAAGCAGCAGCATCTTGGAGACCCTTGCCATACTCAGATTCCTCACTGTCCAATTTAAAAAGTTCCTTGGTTTGGAAGCAGACATTAAGACACTAGCCTGGCAAATGCCCTGAAAGTGTGTTTGCCTTCATGTATCCTGTACCTCTCCCATCCCCTTCTCCAAGCCAATTGTGAAGGTCAGGGAACAAGAGGTAGATGTAACCTTCACTTGCCTCTGGTAGCTACAAGGTAGTGCTTGATCTACTTTAGCAGGGCCATGACTATTCCATCTGCATAGTTGGGGAACTTGTATGGTAGGGTGCCATTGCTCAGGGAACCAGCTCAGGCAACCAAGGTTGGATTTGGATGCCAGGAAGTACTTCCTGACAATTAGGACCCCTAGGGGATGGAATGGGCTTCCATGGGAGGTGGTTGAAGCCCCATGGGTGAGGGTGTTCAATGGTAAGCATGTCATGAGCGGAGCCAGCTGGAGCTGGGGGTCAGTCTAGATGGCCTGGGAGATCCCCTCTGACTCACTCTGTTTCTGTTTCTCTCACGTCCTGCCGGTTGGTTTGCTGTGGCCAGTGTGAACAGAATGCTGTACTAAATGGAACCTTATTCTGATCCAACATAGCTGTTCTCATGAATGTTTGGGGTTGACAAGCAAAACATGATAGGAATTTGTTGCCCTTCTAGGGCAATTGCTGTTCATTTGGCCTCTCATAAATCCTTTTCCCGGTTCATAGCTACAATACTTAGAAAGTCTTTCTCACCTAGTGCAGTAATTTGGGAAAACCTTTCTCTGTGTAGTGATGATTCCCGGATTTTTTGCAGCTTCGTAAAAAGCTAACTTAGCATTCCTTTAGGTTCACTTTTGGGCACAGTAGTAGTGATCAAAAGATAGCTTGAAATGAAAATCATAGAGCACAACAATTGCTTTCAGTAACTGTTCTTTGAAAGGAAGTAGGCTACCAAAGGAGCCTTTCTTACATAGTTTTCATGTGGTGTTAGCACCTGTAGATGTGCATATATTTCCGTTTGTACATTCCCCTTTCTGCCCCTAAATTGAACTTTTAAACTTACAAGACAAATTTCTTGTGCTGTTACACTGCAGGAAAATGGGTGGTAGGCAGACATGACCATCCACTCCTTTTCTGTGGGAAATGATTTGATCCAGGTCAAAATTTAAGTGGAAGGGATTTTCAAATATTTCTATTAACTCAGTGAATATGCAATGAAGAGACAAGAGTTCATGCTGAGCATTTAGGAACATGCATCTGCCCTTCAAATTGTATGCCTTTATTAAGGAAAAATCAGTGTAGCCACAGAGAATGAAGTGATCGTGCAAAGAGTGAATTTGCTTGGAAGAGATGCAAAGAATTCCTGCACAGATGACATTTTTCTGAGTTGCCCCTAAAAATCTAAAATGCAGTAGCTGTATGTTGGCATCATATGCTAAGGAGTCAGGAGCGACTGTAGTGCACTTTTGGACATACCCTTGCAGAATCAGACCTTAGTTTGCAGGCATGTAAAGTGTCAAACAGCCTGACCTGTGTGGGAAAGGAAAGCGTTCTAGGCAGGTTTTGGGTTAAATGCCCTGAGATAATTCTACACCCTAAGGGGAGCCTATGATTAGAAGTGTATATTATAGCTGATATTGAGCATAGTTTTAGAGAGGTCTTTGCAAGTCCACTTGATTATCAGCCTGGTATTTGGTATGCAGTCATGCTGGTCCGACATTTTAGGAGTTCCTGTGTCTAGAACAGTATGGAAAGTCTGACTGTGATTTATATTGTTTTAGGACTTCCTGGAGCAGTTTTCCCACTGCTGTGTTGTTTTCGTCATATCATAAAAAACAAAGTCCCTAGCTTTTTATCAGGTCCCAGCTCACTGCTAGCTGGTATTGTTATTTGTCCCTGAAGCTTTGTTACTGTGCACTTTGGAGACAAAGTTTCTCCTCTTCTTTGATTACAACTCCTGCGGGAACTTCTGGGGAATTCTGCAAGCATTTCAAATGAGTACTTCAAGGTTCACTTCCTAAGCTATGTTTTATGATGTTTAAGGACGACTTCCATCGTGTTCAGTTTGCCCAACTCTCCTTTCCCTCGTGAGTCAGTGCAGCTGATCTTCTGTGTGGCTGCATATCAAGCTTTAACGCTTGGAGTGTATGCTCAGACAGGGTGCGGCAACCAATCCTGGCACCCTGACAAGTGCACGATGAATGTACTTGCAAGGATAAGTCTGTTGTACTTACATTTTAGATTTTTAGACACACATCAAAAGAAGTGTAACCTATGCAGAAGCTCTTGGAATCTGTTCTGCGACTGGCAACTAGTTCACTTTTTTCATGGCTACTGTGTTTCCTGTGGCAACATTACTGTTCCTCTAATAAGCATAGTATGAAAGGTGGATGTACATTCCTAAATGCTCAACATCAACTTTGTCTTCTAATCATATATTCACTGAAAAATTAGGAACATGTACCTAGCCTTCATATTTAGTATATTTACCTCAGTCAGAATCCCATTCCCACACGAAAATGGCCAGTCTTATACTGTAGCATGTGATGTGGATGTCCAGTATCGATATATTGATGCCTGTATGTTCCATGTGAGTGTGGAGGGTGGAAAGATGCTATTATTTGCCTTCTCCCGCCCACTCCATTGTTTCAAAGTGGAAGAAATTGTGGAAATCAGTTCTTTATAGCAAGTGTTTGTTTTATATTTGTGAGACTGGGGCATGAGGTGCAACTTGTCCACTCATCCATGGCTGAAACAGGATTTTGGATGAAGTAACCCACTTAAATGGACCTTTGTGTTTATTGTGGGAAACAATCAGTGTATCTGCAGTGAGCAGAGAGAGTGTGGAAGCATCTCCGAGCTTCTAGAATAGAAAACTTGAGCTTTGGCAGCCTCTGTGGTTATAGAGTTAGCCTGAGTTGCTTAGATGCTAAATCTGACTAGCCATAGAAATGTGTCCCCTAGGCCTAAAAAGCCAATTTGGAGGCGATGGGGAAGCTGTTCAAATTGAAATGTTTGCATAGCTACAGGTGCTAATTGCACAGGGAAATTATGTGAAAGAGGCTCCTTCACTAACACACTTCCTTTCAAAGGACAGTTACTGAAAGTAACAGTTGTGCTCTGTGATTATTTTTTAAGCTCCCTTTTGACTCTCCACCATTACCCTCCAACAGTGATTTGTTTGACTTTCTCACAGTGCAGGACAGAGGAGACAACTCTGAGTAAACCTACCAAACAAAAGAGGAAAAAAATGTTTTTCTAATGTAAACTGGCAGCTTGATCCATTGCAGGATTGACAGAGTGGCTCATAAGAGTGCAAAAGTTTGAACGTTTGTGCATGAGCTAGTGTGCCCTCATTACAAAGGCCTCATTGCCCATGCTGCTAGCAAAAGCTTCCTTTGCCAAGCACTTCCTTCCCAATTCTTGTGCAGCATGTGACATTTATTGCATCACTGAGGTTAGAAAGAGGGCATGTAAACCATGAATGTTGATCTAATTTTGCTCCGTCCATCAGCCAAAGTAATGCAGGGGATAAGCAGATCCATTGAAACAGGTGCCAATCAAAAACATGGGATGCTTAAGTAGGATCCAGAGACTTGCTACACCAGGATGGGGCATACTAAAGGCAATGCCAGTGACGTGTTTCCTTGAGCTTGATGTTACACCTCGCTAATGCTGGAGTAGGAGTTTAAATGTCTGTTGCAACCAACTAAACAAAGAAGAAATGGTGAGTGGATTGGCACTGGGTTTTTTTCCCAACAAAGGAAAGGTCTACCATGAGGCAAGTCTGCATTTCACAAATGATTTAGAATTGTTGGTGGAGCTGCCAGGACAAATGCTGGATGATGACTTTGTATATGATTAACTTCCTGCACAGGTTTGGTTTCATGTACCCTGCATGTACACAGCACACATACCTGGAAACCTGGAACCAAGCATGTTGGCATCATCTATAATTGTACACACAGACTACATGGATTTTTCTATACTAAAGTGATACCCACTTGGTAAATGCTAATACTGGTAAAGACTTCCTTGGTGACAGACGTTCAGGTTGGCACTACTTCCCCACCCTCAGAGTTTTCCTTTCAGAACTGCTCTTTTCCCTTTTCCTGCCCTCCTCCTGCATATCTTTTATCATTTGCTGGCAATTCCATAGGGAATGTGACCATAATGAGTTTGTGCAAAGCATGCCATGGGTTTAAACTCCAAATTGACCCCACAGCACTTTCCTTACAGGCATTCTGAGATACACTGATCAAAAGCTATGTTTTCGCTAGGAACAATGAACTCAAGCATTAGAAGGTGGTTATTATTTCATGTAAACCTAGGAGTCTGTGTCTTGCTGGTGTAGCTTTCCATGGCCTTTGTAGAGTTGTCTTCAAGTTTTGCATCAGGTTGTTGGATTTGCAAACAAGGCCGATTTATTCTTGGTTCTATTGAACAGGAAATTCTTTGGCCTCTGTATCATCATGTTTAAATGAATCAGTTTTGAAAAGAGAATTCTTTGTCTATGAAGATTGTTTCAGCACATTTTCATAGAGAGGAGGTGGGGAAAGAATAAATTGACATTAGTTCACTCCAAGGCAGCATGGTCTTTTCCAACTGACTTGACAAAATTTCAGTCTGATTGCAAACTCAGCTCAATACTTACGCTCAATTCAATGCTTAGAGAAGGTAAGACTGTATATTTCTGGTCTCCATCTGTGCTAATCTCACAGGGTTGTTGAGAGGGGGAATCAGCTAGACTTAACTCGTTTTTCCTTGGTTGAGCTGATTCTTGGTTTAGACCCAAAAATAAAAGGTAACCTTTTCCTGGTATGAAAAAGGTAATAGAAATTCTTCAGCTGCCTAATTCTGATGTCTTATGCACATGGGCAGTGAGAAAAGAAAAACTCATGAGCTAGGTAATGTTTACAGTGGTTTATATTCCTTAAAGCACAGTATCAGCTTTAAGTTAATAGACCAGCAGAAATGTTCACCAAGTCTCACTGCATACTCTTGCCTAAATTAGTAATTTGTGGCACATAGATGGTCCTTAACGCAAGTGTATGTGTGTGTGTGCGTGGTGTAACTACCATTTATTGTATAAAACTTCCCTATGTTGTCTACTTGGAAAAGTTTCTTACCACAGACTGCCAACAGAATACCCATTCACATGCCTGGCCTATATAAATAGATACAATTATCATACCAATAATGCAGTTCAACTATTTCTTTATGTTCTAAATAATCTGAAAGGGGTGACAGAAAAGAGGAACAAGGAGTTCCTCAACTGGAGTTTCGGAGGGTGCCCCTGTCAGGATATGCACGAGTGGTATTGAAATCAGATTTGTGTTAGAAGCAGAAACACGAACAGCATGCTTCTAAAAGACAATTTAAGGCTGCA